ATGACGAGCACATAAGAGGAGAGCAGCTATCGCTCGTTTTCCTCTTTCCTCGCGAATTTTGTCTGGGAAGATTGATTTGAGCATACAATGAAAATTCAAAAGCATCCTCGTTCCGACTACTACTCAGTCGGGCAAGAAATCTTGGTAATCGATGCTGGAATGTGTGAAAGTTCGTGGACACTGGTACCCGCAGCCTGACCGCACGCAGCCTTCATCAGTACGACGTGGATGTCTGCTGCCTGTCTGAAGTTCGCCTTCCCGGCAGAGGCTCCAGAGAAATAGAGATCTCTGGGGTCGAAACACACTTCACAGCGACCCATGCGACTCTTCTATTAGACACGGTGTGGCGATCGCCTTCTCGCAACGAGTGAACCGTGCTTTACTTGCTTGGGAACCAATCAATTACCGGATGGCCTACGTGAGACTGAAGAGTCACTTCATTAACATCTTTATCGTCTGTGTTCCCACCAAACTCAGCTGCCGAACAGCGCAATAAATAGGCGTTTTGCTCGCAGCTGCAGGTGCTAGTTGAAAAAGGGCCTCGTTGCGATCTTCTAATGGTCGACGGTGGCTGAAATGGCTGCCTAGTGAGTCTGCAAACGATCATCTTATTGGCCGCTGTGGATTTATTCTTAATGTGAAAATGGCGTGAGATTGCTGAACTATGCTGATCAGAACTGACTATTTGTCACCAATAAGTGTTTCCAGCACCAAGCTAAATATCAACTGACGACGGTCATGCGGGCAGTCAGACTGGCTAAATTCTAGTCAGCTCAGGGTTCACGATAGCAGATCAACGCGTTGTGCCAGGACTGGTAAGGCCCATGGGTTGGATCTTGTTTTCGTTTGTACATACTTGAAAGTTCACATCTCGTCCGCGTCTTAAAAAAGGCGTATGGATCCGATGCGACATCTTCATCGCCACTAAGTTTCCCGTTTCCCTTGCATCCGTCCGGTTTTGTCCTTTTGTGAATCCTAGGCTGGGCGCGTGGAGGACGAGCGAAAACTAGAGTTATTTGACCGCCACTGCTTGAAAGTCATCTTTCGAGTGAATTACACCGACTTCGTCTCAAATGAGACAGTCCGCACTCGCTGTGACGACATCGCAGTGATGACCCAGGCCATCCAAGAGAGACGACTGAGGTGGTTTAGGCATGTTCTTCGTCGTCCATCTCAGAAGCTCAGTGTTACTGCACTCGATCCGGTACCGTTGCCCCATTTGAGGCGCCGAAGTGGGGGCTAACTCAAAACCTGGCTCAGCACCGTTCGTCTAGCTGTGAAGGGGTTCTTGGACCTTCCGTACTCGGTCTTCGTCTTTGGTGAAAAAAATGAGTTAAACTGTCTAGATCTGCTGCCGCGGATTGCCGCGCGTGGAGAGGTACATTCCGGAACACCATCGTGTCCGGCTAGATCAGGCATGTTCGCATGCGCAAGTATCCTTGTCCAGACGATAACAAACCTGTCAGCAACATAATGGCGCAGAAAGATCGGCAGCCAGTGGGTGAAGGTAATCTTTTCCAGCTTTTGTAGGAGTAGTTCCGCCACTAAACCGGAGATTCGGGAGTCCATTCTATTTTCACTGGTCTGCTCGTATGTTTTTTTCGCAAAGGTGAATTAGACCATTTAGAAAAATTCGAACAGTCTGATGAAGTGTTCAACTTTGAGTGCGCTGAATTTTGTTGTATGTCTCCTCAAGTTTTCTGTGCAAGACTTTGTACGCCAAGTTCGGACGGATGTGAATAAGGACGTCGTATCAAGAGACATCATGATTTAGTTCGATTTATTCTTTCGATCTCAAACGCCTGCGAGTAATTGGGTGATTGAACAAACTGAGGTAGTCAAACTGCGTAGGTGGAAGTTCAGTTTCGAGTTCATCCACTTGGCCAAGTTATAGGTTGGACTACCTGTTTGGACAACAGTCGGTCGAAGTGGAACATTTGGTTAGCGGATCTTTGGCAGACCAAGGATTTAAGTCAGAGCAGTACCTGTTGCCATCATTTGGCGTCATTCATTCTTTATAATCACATTTTGTGTCGGTATTCTCTATTAAGGTTACTCGGCCCATTTGTTACTGCCATGGCTTGTGAAATCTGCGCTGGTCTGTTAAGTTCTGTATCATCAAGAAGGGCCTTAGCTTTATCACTATAACCTCTGTTCATCACGACACTTGCTTATTCCTTATGGGTGGTCAGAATAATAATTTTTCGTTCATCCTTAATTCCTTCATAGTTTTCGACATTATCAGAGAAATACACGGTTGGCGCGTGCGTCAACAACAAGGAGGTGACACGTTGTTAAGCGGAGTGCATCTTGTCGTCGACTGTTTTGAGTTCTCACAAGCACGACTTCCGAGGCTTAAATGAGGTCGACCGAGTCAACATCTGTGGTGAAAAAACTAGCGTCATGCCGTAGCACCCGTAGTTGCCGGGTCGTTACTTGTTCATAAGGGAGGTTGTATTAAAAATTTCGAACCCCCAGGGCCTGCCGGTATAGAGTTATTTAGTTTCTGTGCCAAAACTTTCCTTTTCTTCGTTTGTCCGTGATGTGCGAAGATGGAGAGTGTCTTCCCAAGGTCCGCCATGATGTAATCACTTTGAGCGCGGATACACTGTGTTCTTCTCTGCTTGATCGACAGAAAAACCGTAAAATGTGCTAAGCTGCAAAATTAATTGGTTCGTTTGCAACAGTCGTGTGATGGGTGATTCCTCTCACCCCGAATTAAAAAAATGTCCAGTTATTCGATTACGATCCGGCAGTAGGAGGACGACAAGACCTGAACATCATTACTTCATAGCAGGCCACCAATGCAAATTAGTTAACGAACTTATTGATCTTAGTGTGTGAGGTACGTCCACTCTCAAACCATCACCTCTCAGCGGTGGAAGCACTAGCGACACCAAAATGGGTACATGAGGCTGATTTATTGAGGTGAACGAATGAGGCTCGATATAAGGCACTTTCACGCGGTCGACTGTCACCGTATCGGTGTGATTGCCGCTGCTGAATGTGGAACGCTTGTCCGTGGGTGTTAAGACTGGAAGTGGAACTCATAAGGCCTTGAAGAAGGCGACACGATCGCTGGGACGAGAACTCTATTAGCCCGACTTTTCGGATTCCTGCTCGAATCCACCATCAAAGACAACAGCAGATACAGGTGATTCATGCACAAGGGGTTGCAGTATTTATAGGATCCAGTCGCCATTCTACCGCATACCTATGAACATTCACGGCTCCCCCCTTCATCTGGGATCGTCGCACTTGATGTTCTAATTGTTTGATGGCCGACATTCGCGTAGTTAATTGCTGCAAATTCATCACGTGCGTTGGATGTTGATGTGATGATTGCTCGACCATCAGACGAACCGACCCTGGTTTTGGGAAAAGTGTTCACATGTGCGCTCGCCGCGTGGCTAATTACTCCGCCTAGGCGAAGTCTCAGCACCGAGTATGGAAGGGGAAGTTCATTGCACTTGTTAATGGACTGGGGGCCAGTAAACCATGACTTAAGTAGCTCCCGGCTCACGCGGTCGTCATCTCTTGCGAGAATTTTGGCCTCGTCGAATGAGCCGCAGCGGTGCGGTGAAATGACGCCAGGTTTCAAGTTGCGGCTCATTCGATGAGATCCGGCCACACATTCAAATTCGACCCAGTGTCTGCAGCACCAACCTACATTCGCCGCATACGCCTCCGTTGTCCACACTGTCCGCGCACATTCACTCTTCACATGACTCTATAAGAACACATGCCAATTCAAGAAAACCTACGGTAGACAACCGTCGGTTACACCACAGCATCTCACCTCCCCCACCAACATCCCGCAGCACACAGTACCATCACCTACCACAAGTACTTAATTGTCACCTCCCACGTAAGTGGGAAGCGTGCTTCTCGGCTCACTCTCTATGCGGCTTCTCCGCTGCATATGTGATCCGAGTCTGAGATTATTACGATCAGCCGAACGTCGCGGCTTTGAAGGCTGCCTTCTGACATCCCAAATCAATCCACGCAGTCAGCGCAGGTGTGTGTTTGTGTGGAGTGGCGGACTGGTGTGCTGAGGACCAGGCTCTCACAGCTCCTTCTTACATTGACCTCTGACACTCACGCGCGTGAGGAGAATGTGTATATGAGTAATGCCTCTCAGTCGATGAGTGACTCGTTACTTGGCCTTTAAAGTTTGAGCTCTCAGACTAAATTCAAAGCTGCGTCTTACGTTTCTGGACTTAAACGATTGTGTGCGCCTGCTATGCTATGATTTTGCAAACCGTGGCGCTCGCAACCTGGTATGTGCTGGCAGTCCTCTGACATCTGGTTCCCAGCCGGGGAATGCGACTGTGCTTCCGCCGGCATATGGGTTGTGTACATGCTCGCTCAGTGACCTGAATCATCCAGCCCTTTCTGACCCTTTTTGTTGCTGGTCAAAATCCTGGTCAAATGTTTGTTGTGGACTAGGGGGTTTGGCAGCAGGCCCTGGGGCGGCTCCGGCCGCGCCAGCTATCCGCGCCCCCTCCCACCTCCGGTCTTCTTGACTATTTCTCGACATGGGGTCCAGATGCCTTGAATGTTTGCTGACAACGTAGACAGGTTGGTGAGATTGAGTGTTGGCGTTGCGAAGCGGGAGCAGTTGGGATATTTGTGCTTCGCGTTTGGCCTTGGTGGCAGTTGTGCAGTTGGCTTAGTAGATCCCTTCACCTGTCTTCATTATCCTCTTCCAGGCCGGTCAGTCATGGGCTAGGTCTTCTCAGCTGGCCAGGTTGATCTACGGACGCTTCGAGGAAGTCCTCAGAGTGTCCTTTTTGCGCCGGACTGGACCCCTCTATCGACGAGAACGCGTGCAACGTATCCATAGATAGCTCATTTGGATAGTTGCTCGTCGTCCATGCTCACGAGTGGCCGCTCCAGCGTAGTTGCGGCGGTCTCAGCATGGCGTGGATGTCAAGGATTCCTGTCCGTTCCAGTACTTCCGTATCTAGGGTTCGGTCCTGCCACCTCAATTTTAGTATTTACCAAGAACATTTGAAGTGGAAGTGGTTGTGTTTCTGCGCCTGCCTCTTGTACGCCGTCCAGATTTCCGCTCCATACTGCAACGTCCGCAAAATGATCGCTTTGTACATTTTGGGCTTGGTGCTGAAGTGTAGACCGTGACGATTCCAGACGGTGTTCTGCAAGCGACCAAGGGCTTGACTGGCCTTTGAAATCCAGTGGGCCACTTCTTCGTCGATTTTGATGCTGCACGAGAGGGTGCTGCTCAGGTAGGTGAAGGTGTCTTCGGTTTGCAGTTGGGCGCCGTTCGTGTTGAAGTGGGGTGCGTTGTAGGCAACGTTAGCTGGCGGTTGGTGCATAACCACTGTTTTCTCCGTGTTGACGATGAAGTTGGCGTTGTTACAGACGGCGGTGAAGAGGTCCATGCTTCTTTGCATGTTCCCTCCTGAGGTAGCGTTTAGAATGCAATCGTCGGCGGAGAGACGCTCGTGGACTTTAGTTGTGTATATACGCGACTGAAAGGGCATCCGCCGCTGACTGTGGGGTTAGCCTGTCGAAGGTCGTGTGGTCGACAAGATAAAGATTCCCAATCAAAAGTCAGGGAAGACGGAATGAGTGGGACAACCTTTACTGCTTGGAAAGCGTGTACACAAAGGTTGTGTGGGCAGTCACCGCAAGCGCGCTCCAAGCAAGCTGTTGTCTGCGTCCGCCCTCGAGGTGTTGTGTTAGCGCGTGTGTGCGCCATTCGTTGTCTCCACGTCGCCAGCCAATCAGAGTGGGGACAGCGTTGATTGGCTTCGAGCACTCGCGCGTCCCAGCAGCGTCTCGACACGGAGTGTGAGGCGGACAGGACGGCAGCGTGACAAAGGCGGAGGGTGAGGAGACGCGAACCACCACAGTACCCCCCGGCTAGGCCGAAGGCGGAGCGTAGCGATGCCGAAGGAACTGTTGATATCTAAAAAACATGAGTGACCAAACGGTCAGGGAAGTGAACATGGCGTCCGCTACGTGCGATATGTACAGGGGGCACAGGAGTAGAGTGAGTATGGCTCGCGGTTACAGTGTTGTTGGTTGATGAAGGAGTAGTTGCAGTTGTGGGTTGCGGACATGGGGGCAAAGGAAGTATACGGGACGGAGGGATAGAGGGTAAGGGATGGGAAGGGCGAGGTAGTGGGCAGGGTGAATGAGCACGGGATAGGGAAGATGGAGGAACAGGGGTTAGGGGGTCAGCACATTTTTGTCCTTGTGACGGGTCCGGCGGCTTCTCTGCAACAGCAGCCTTGACCCGATCGACACTGACCACGTCCTCCTTGTCAATGCGAAGAATCCGGAAGGTCTTGGCGTTGCGCGCGAGCACGCGGAACGGCCCTTCGTATGGTGATTCCAGCGGCTGGCGCACGCGGTCACACCGGACGAACACATGAGTACAGCTGTCCAAGTCTTTTTCGACATAAGACTCAGTCATTGGAGTTCGAGGTGGAACCGGGGAAAGCGAGCGCATAAATTGCCGCAAACGCTGCACAAGATTGCCGGGAGTCTCGTCGGCGCCACGAGAGGTTGGAGTGATCATCTCGCCTGGCAGTCGGAGGATAGTGCCGAAAACCAATTCAGCTGCGCTACAGCCCAGATCCGACTTCAGAGCTGCGCGGATGCCGAGGAGTGCAAGGGGAAGGTTGTCTGACCAGTTTCCTGGGTCTTCTACGGCACGCAGGGCGGTCTTTAGCTGACGATGGAAACGTTCCACCATAGCGTTGGCAGCTGGGTGGTAGGCTGTCGTCCGAATGCGTGTGAAGCCAAAGAAATTGGGTAATGTCTGGAAGACTGACGATTCAAACTGGGCACCACGATCAGTCGTAACCGTGGATGGGGCACCGAACATGGCGATCCAACGACTGACGAAGACCTTCACGATGGTTTCAGCCTGAACATTCGGCAAAGGAATAGCTTCAGCCCAGCGAGTGTATCGATCGACACAGGTAAGGAGGTGGGTGAAACCATTGGATGGAGGCAAGGGGCCTACGACATCCAAGTGCACATGGCTGAACCGTGCGTCGGGACTGGGGAAAGTGCCTGGTGGGGACTTGTTGTGACGCTGCACCTTGTTGCGCTGGCAGCTCAGACAGGACCGAGTCCAAGCTTTGACGTCCTTGTTCATGCCAGGCCAGACAAACCTTTCCGTGAGGAGCTTTTGAGAGGCTCGGATGCCAGGGTGGGAGAGTCCATGCAGAGTTTGAAATACAGCTCGACGCATCGAGGCGGGCACGAAAGGGCGATGAAAGGGAGTTGAGACGTCACAAAGTATGGTACCAGAGCCGGTGGTCAGATGAACGTCTTTGAGTTGGAGACCACTAACAGACTCGTTACCAGGACAACCGACTCGCTGTTGCTCAGCCGCCATGGCACAAAGATCGATCCCGTGTGAGAGGTGGAGGGAAGACAGTGAGGGTCTAGACAGCATATCAGCCACGTCATTCTTCGTGCCATCAATGTGGCGGATGTCGGTGGTGAATTGGGAGATGTAGTCCAGTTGGCGGATTTCCCTCGGATTATACTTGTCGGAGTGGGAACGAATTGCAAAAGTCAACGGTTTGTGGTCAGTGAAAATTGTGAACTCTCGACCTTCGAGTAAGTGCCAGAAGTTCCTTACGGCAAGATAAGCGGCGAGAAGTTCCCGTCCGAATGTGCTGTAGCGGGTTTCGGCTTTGGATAGTTTCTTGGAGAAGAAAGCCAAAGGCACGGTAGAATCCGGCAGACTTTGTTGAAGAGCCGCGCCAACAGCAACAGTGGAGGCATCGACAATCAAAGATATGGGTGCATCAGCGTGAAAGTGAGTCAGGAGGGTGGCGTCAGCCGCCACAAGCCGTCCGTCCTGCAGTTGTTGCAGTTGTCCGGGCGTTCGTCATTTTAGGCCTCCGATTTCAGTGCAGTGGACATTAGACTAAAAATAATGGGCGCTGTGACGCAGATGTACTTTATCCCTTTGGCCTGTGCGCATGCCTCTGATGCTGGCGTATTTTGCGTGATTCGCGTCGTCATTCCCCCATAGAGCTGACGCATTAGTTATTTACATCGTTCGGGACAGCTTATTATCGTTTATTTCGCACTGTCCTTTGCAACCTACCATGTCGAATTTTCGAGTCATATTCACGAATGTAAAATGGTGATGGGTCGGAATTTCGTGATACTGCTCCTGTTATTGCAAAGCGGAGATGGTCTTGTCGATTTTACATCGGTGACGGCGGAGGCAGCATTGTCTTTGCGGCATGAGTCCTTGTGCCAGTGGTCTGTTAAGAATTTTGAAAAGAATACGAACGAAGGTAATTTCAGTGATGTTGAGTAGAGAGCTGCCGCAATGTTGGGAATTCCCTTTCGCGTATAGAGCTTGATTATTGCGGCGGCCTTGAAATTTTGAGGGGTTTGTCCTTGGCTCGACATCGCCTGTGTGAGCAATGTGAGGTGAATCATAAATTGGGACACCGTGCTAGTATATGTCGGCAAAAATAATAATAATAATTTTTATTAAAGACCCGTCGGGGTCACATCAAAGCAAGTAAATATAAATTAACATGCGAATTTTCGACGAGGTAGGCAAAATCTGTACAAAGTGCAATACATAGTTTTTAAATTAGAAGTCCGTTAAGAAAAATGATAAGTGAGGGGTGAAAAAGATCCACATCAAAATTTAAAAATGACTGGATTAATTTTACAGGTGAAAAAAACCCTCGAACACTTCGAAAGACTCTAGTGTCTTTGCTAGACCCCATCTGGAGTATGGAATACCAGCAGCTTCACCATGGATGAGGAAGGATATCGACACACTCGAACAGGTGCAACGCAGAACGACAAAGATAGTCGACGGTCTTAAGAATTTGTCTTATCAGGAGAGGCGGAATTTGCTTGGCTTATTCGCTCTCTCTTATAGACTAATAAACTGCAGTCTGCTTTGGACGTTCCGGATTGCCCGCGGCCAGGGTTGCTCATTAAGAGCAGAGGACTTCCTTGAGTTTGTCCGTACAAACCAACTACGCGGCCATGCCTACAAAGTCGGGAATGAGCGCACGCGCTTAGACCGTCAAAGATGTTCATTTAGCCAGCGGGTTGTCAGACCGTGGAACTCGCTCCCAAACGGGATGCTGACGACTGACATAATCTGTGTGTTTAAAAGAAAACGTGCTCGTCTAGTTTTCGACAGAAATCGGCTTTTACAGCATGACTTTGCACAGCCAGTTTTGTAAAAACTGTCCTATACAATCCTTCCGCACTAATTTGCAGCGCCCTTATGCACTACTTTATGATTACGATTGAACTGTGACCCGATCACATTGTAAATGCCTGTAATTTAACTTTTGAGTACGAATCTGCGAAAGCACTGTACAAAAATAGAGTCAGCAAGGGCTCTGCCTCTAACCCTCCAAATATATATACACACATATTGTGTGTATCGGTCAAGTGAAATCAGACCTTGTTTTGGTTGAGAGTGGTATTTCCCGGGCTCAGTACTGGGACCCATTTAGTTCCTTATATATGTGAACGATGCCGCAAGAGCTCTGGACGGTGAATTAGCAATGGCTGCCAAAGGACCAAGAATGCCTCGAACGGGTACAACGGCGTGCAACAAAGCTGGTAAACGGTCTAAAAAGCCATTACTACACAGACAAACTGAATTGCCTTAATTTATTCCCTCTGTGTTACAGGCAGCAAAGAGGTGATCTTATCCTTGTCTACAAGATAATACATGGCCTTGATTATGGACTTAAATTTGAGGACATGTTTAAGTGGCATCTTTCACCCAATCTTCGTGGTCACTCGATGAAGTTACGGACAACAATGTCCAGGCTGAATCTTCGTTCTGAGTTTTTCACGCAGAGGGTAGTGGAGAAATGGAACGATCTCCCTCAGTCAGTCGTGGAGGCTACATCCCTGCAACTCTTCAAGAAACGCTTGGATGATTATTTGTGTCCCCTGTTTTCCCTCGACGGTCTGAATCTGAACTAATACCCCTGGTCCCCACAAATATTTCCTCTGAGACAATGCTACTCAAATGAACCAAGTACTGTTTTTATAGTGAATATTTTTTGTATGTGTACAGTTTTTTCTAACGAGCTGAATGTCATCAATAGGGTTTTCAAAGGCTTTGCCTATTATCCTTACCAAATAAACTGAATAAACTGAATATTTGCAATGACGTGGAAATATGGAGTGTAATTCGAGACCCTGCCGACAAAGACAGACTGCAGGTGAACCAACATTGGTTGGAAGATTGGTCAAACCCTTGTGTCTTGCAGTTCAACGTTTGTAAGTGTAGCATACTTCACCAAGGCGACACAGCCAGATCCGCCAACACAAAAGACCACTTTATGGGTGGTGCAGTCCTACAAGAAGTCGAAACCCAAAAAGAACCTCGGTGTGCTGACGACGAGTCACCTAAAACCCTCCGCTGATTGTTCGAGAGTGGCAAAAAGTGCAAATTCCGTACTGTACGCCATTAAGCGTGCATTTATAGATTTGGACGGAGATGCTTTCTAAA